AGTGATTCCCATATATGGAAATTTGGCGGTTGAGATTTTCGTTACTCAGAGGTGAACATCTGTGGGACTTTAGGGAAAGTTTAGATAAAGGGTTACCCACGCAACGCGAGTTAAAAGATGATTCTGAGAAAAGTATGGTACAGCTGCAGGGTGCACTTCGGTAAGACCAGACTCCACATTCCCAGGTGTAGATAAAATAAATGAACGCGAGCTTCGAAAAGAACGGGTGTGCATACGTAACAGCATCATTGATCATTTTGATCTCGCTATTAAAGTGAATGTCCCTATTTCTAACCATGTAAGAGTTCTGTTGTCGCGAAAGTAGATATTATTATTAAGGTGACTTATTATGTATTAAGGTGATATCTTCCTTTAACATTGAATTTAAAGAAATATATTTCCAATATTATTTTAACTTAGTAATGGTTAATTGAATATTGTAGCGTCCACACTACTCCGAACGCCCGCCAGAATAGCGTCTTAGTCACACCCCCGCTAAGACCCCGAAGTTGCAGTGGCCACACTACCCCGAGCGCTCACCAGAGTAGCGCTCACGTCGTACCCTCTCTAAGGCTCCGAGGTACCTGACCTACCCCTACCACGCGCCGACGACCCCCCGCGTAGGTTAAAAAGGCGAGTAGCGTAGGATTTTTGACAGTTTTCTAAACTTTCCGCTCCAACTAGCCGCTCCCTGGGTGGACAGTTAATACGGACCGAAAGTGTCAAAAGAAAAGACTCTGCTCTGAGCGCTCCCCAAGTGGATCAAAGGACTTAGTCAAGTCTCTCGCGGCTAAACCCGTCGACGACTGTGTTAGCGCGACCGTGTACAAGTTTTATCGACTATCGAACAATTTTATATAAGTGTAATTCTAAGTTTACTTGCTAATGTTAAATAAAGACTTTGAAACCTACGGAGAATTATTATAATATGAACTACAGAATGTCCCTATTTCTGCTCAGCGGAAATGGAAATGTCCGTATTTCTGTTCACGAATGTGTCCCAGTTTCTGCTCATATATCCAGTCCCGGTTTCTGGTCAAATATGCGAGTTGTATTGCAATTGAAATGTATATTGTTATAACATCTTGAATAACACAAATAAGTAAAATCACTTAAAATATAAAAATGCCTTTTATTTATAATACGAAATACAAAATATACTACAAATAATACAACAATATAATATAAAATACTAAGTATCTTTTTTAGTTAATTTTTCTCGGTCCTTTTTTAGAGCAACTTATTTCTGTTCTTTTATTTTAGCTTTTTCTTCTTCTTTCTCTTTCTTCATTCTAGCCCTTTCTTCTTCTTTCTCTTTCTTCATTGTAGCCTTTTCTTCTTCTTTCTCTTTCTTTAGTCTAGCTTTCTCTTCATTTTTAAGCTTTTTTAATTTAACTCTCTCCTCCTTTTGTTCATTTTTTTATTTTTATGTTCTGTAATTTTAATTGCCTTCTTTCTTCTGTTTGTTGCTCCTTTTCCTTTTTTATTTTTGTTTTATGACCCAAATTTTCTTCTGGCCAGAATAGCACTTCTTGAAAGAGTGTAGCAATGGATGTATTATTAGTATCTGTAATTAGTTAACGATTTATTTATAAGTAACTGTTTTACTTATTATTTCTTTAAAAATATTTATTTTAAATACTTACCATGTTTATTTGGACATGCATTTTCATCGGTTACCTGACTCTTATCAATTATCACGTCGTATGATAACATGTCTGATTGTTCTACTACATCTGAATTATTTTTAGATTTTATTTCGTTTGATTGTGTTGGTTATGTGCATATATAAATCCTATCTGGACCTAATGAAACTATTTCATGTGTGCTTATGTCTAAGTTATTTCCTGATGTATCCTGACTAATAGACATATTCTCACTAATAGACATATCCTCACTAATAAACACATGTTCTAAATTATTATCTGTGATGTTTAGATCACACTTACTGCTACCTGCATGTTTGTCGTTAATTAATTCAATTAGTATTTCATTGTTAGTAATTGTATCTATCTGTAAGAGAAAACAATTAAACAAAAGTTTTTAGAAATCTACTTGTCGTAATGTAAGTAGTCAATTATCAATATTATATCATAAAATTATATACAATTATGTGTTTTTAATTATTTAAATAAATTACTAAATAAATATGAACAAATTATTTAACCTTTTCGCCGCGCAGCTTGCGTGTATACTTGACGAGTATACTCGCGCAGAGCACCGAAACGGTTAAATAAATCACAATAAAACATTAAAATAATTCAGAAATCATAATAGAAATCTTTAAGTACATAGTTGGTACCGAAGATGTTTGAATGCTGCTCTTTTCTATCATTCTCACATTCTCATTTAACATGAGTTTTCTGCTTTCTATCCAGACTGAAAATAAGGCCTCATATTTTGTCTCTCCATACCATTTTCCATCTCTCATTTCAGCTACTTTAAAAAGCTGCACTGTCTTCTCATCGATAGATTTTTCAATAAATTTTAAGGTGCGCTCAAAATCCTTGTGAGAGCTTGTCATTAAATTATTCTTATCAACATCTTTTTGCTGTAAGAGTTGATCTTGATTTAATAATTTGTCATAATTTATAGCATCCGCAGAAAGTGGTGCAAGTCCGCAAGCAATAAACCCCTGTTGCAGAATACTTTTAGCATTCAGAGAATGTAACGCAATTTGCAGAACAGGGGCAAAGTTTTGTTTTTCCACAGCTCTGCCACCATTCTGCATCCTCCAATCTGTAACAGCTTTCTTCCATGCTTCCTTCAAAGGTCGAAATAAGGCCACATCCACAGGTTGCGTAATGTGTGTGGAATTGGGATACAACAAAATCATTTCAATTTTATGCTCCACACAAAAATCACTTAGTGCCATGGTAGCATGTGATGAATGCCCATCTAAATATATTATTATAGGAAATTGTATTTTATTTTTAATGCACCATGGATAAAATACATTGGTCATGTATTTATAAAATGACTCTCCGGTCATCCACCCATTCTCAGATTTTCCTACACTCCAATTTTGAGGCACTTTATCAATGATGCTTGATGGTAGCATTTGGTAGGAAAACATTATCATTGGTGGGAATAGCTCACCTGCTGCATTACCTATAAATTTAATAGAATTACTAAATTTGCTAAAAACAGTTATACATTTATAAACTAAAGATACTATTTTATTTATCACCTGTAATCAATGTTGTTATATACTCCTTATCATTTGCACCGACTAAATTATAAATCCCTTTAAATTTTTTATTTGTGATAACTTTATTGCCTTTTGTCAATATCAAAAAGATTCTTTGATTTCAAATAATCTTCAATTTCTTTAAACCACTCTCGTATTTTTACCTCAGATACCTGACCACGTCTTTGAGAAAAATTTTGGGAGTTCTTAATGAGGACAGCCCACATTCTTTACAGCCTCCAATGCATTTATTAAATCGCCTTCGGTAAAAGATAAATATTTATTTCTAGATATTTCCCTCTTCATTGTCCCCGTTTTTTCTTCTTTTTTCTTTGCAACATTTTTTTTAATTGTTCTGGGCATATTTATTAACTAATAAACAATAAAATAAATAAATATAACTTATTAATTTATTAATAATTTATTAATAATTAATAATAGTATTAATTTTTTAATAATTTATTAATAATTAATAATAGTATTAATTTTTTAATAATGATAGTTATATACTTATATTCGTATCCACGGCCACGTGGTTAGAGATAGGGACTTATAGGTTATGTGAGTGACCGTATTACTATTCACCTATCTTCTCCGCACGCAGAAAGCAAAACTTAAAAAAAAACATTTTGTACTTCAAGATTTGTATCTACACTGCACGTTTCTGCCAAATTTTAGCACAAAATATGAAGAATTAATGTTTTTAACCGACTTCGAAAAGGAGGAGGTTACTCAATTCGACATGTATTTTTTTTTATTTTTTTTTTTTTTTAAATGCTTAGATAGCTTGACCAATCGGAATGAATCCTGTTGCATCTTGTAGAGCATGTTCCCCTGGTGATCCTCCTGTCAAGACTTTTTGCGATTTGTCATTTTTTACCCGTCTTTTTACCAAAAAACCGTAATTTTTAGGTATGTTTGCCGATTACGTCGAAATGGCTTGATGAATCGGAGTGAAACCTCTCGCACCTTGTCGAGTATTTCTTCCAGTTGGTCGCGCAAAAGAAACATTTTGTGATTTGTCATTTTTTACCTGTTTTTTTTTTTTTAACAGAAACATTTTGTCTTGCTTCTTACTCCGAGACGGATGGACCAATCAGATTGAAACTTCTTGCATCTGGAAGAGCATTTGCCATTTGGTCCCATAGCAAAACATTTGTTCTTGTCTTTTTTTTATCACTTTATATCACTTTTTATCGCAAAAAGTGTACTATTTCACGTATGTTTGGCCTGAAAGCGATGAAATCGCTGAAACCCTTTACATTTTGCTGCCGGAGAGGTTTCCGCAATGATCACAGATGCAAAAATTTATGAATTTCTGTATTGTTTATAACTATTGTTAACGCAAAATTCCTATTATATGATGTAACTCGGTGAGGAAATTACCGAGCGCGATGGAACCTTCCGTATTTCATGACACATGAATTCGTGATGTTCCCATTTGCAAAATTTATGGACACTTTTATTGTTTATAAAACCATTGTTGGTCGCATAAGCCCCGCAGGCGCTCCTCCGACATAGTCGCGCTCTGATTGGTCGGGAGTTTCTGTTTCTGGAATATCTCCTTAACGAAGCATCGAGCAACATTTTCGCTAAGGAAAAATTGTTTCAACCCTCCCTCCCCCACGAAACAAGTCTTTTCAAGGACCTCCAACGTTTTTGGGTCATCCTGTATATTGCTCATAACTGTTGTTATTGCATGAACCTAATGGATATAGATTGCCACTAAAAAGAGTGAAATAAAATAATTTTTTTGAAAAAAAATTGAACCGACTTCAAAAAAGGTACAGTGAAAAGTATGAAATAATTTCTAGTTAATTTATATGAATACGACTAGCTCTAGATATAATTGCTTAAAAGTATGGGAAAATGCAGTGAGAAGTGTGAAATAATTTCTATTTAAACTGCATTCTTATTCACTATCCTTTGGAAAAGGTGCATCGCATTTAATATGATGTATTTAATAATTTAACCAAATTCATGAAACGATGATGAATAACAATGCAGTTTAAATAGAAATTATTTCACACTCTTCACTGCATTTTCCCATACTTTTAAGCAATTATATCTAGAGCTAGTGCGTATTCATATAAATTAACTAGAAATTATTTCATGCTTTTCACTGCATTTTCCCGTACTTTTAAGCAAATAAATCTAGAGCTAGTGCGTATTCATATAAATTAACTAGAAATTATTTCATACTTCTCACTGTACCTTTTTTGAAGTCGGTTCAATTTTTTTTCCAAAAACTTAGTTTATTATAACGAAAATAGTATGCACACGTCTTACTCGCGATCGTAACCACAACGTTTTAGTCAGGTTTCGTTATGGCGGAGGCAATTATTAAATTTATTTCTATTAAAATGGTGGCATCTATTGAACAACGGATTGTATCAGTTTGTACGGGAATACTGAATTAATTCCAAACAATTTTTTGTAAAACTAATTTCGTATTCAACTTTTTATATTATATAAAAATATGCGTACTGAGCAGAAATTGGGACGTGATTCGAAATAGGGACATTCACCTTAGTTTTTTAGGAAACGTTAACGAAAAATTTGTTTATATGGTACATATATACATACTATTGGCACCCCAACGAGCTCTATCGAAAGTTCTTATGGCATTTTGCCAAAAACTTAAAAATAAAAAAGTTGTGGGCAGTTGAAGTTTCAGGTCATGCGAAGTTACATATATAGCATCTCATATTTTCAAAATGTTGTTTCTCGCGTATTAATTCTCGCGTATTAATTCTCGCGTAGAAATAGTTCTACGGAACTATTTCTAAAAACTATCAGGAACTATAGAACTATTGTAGGTGCAAATAGAACTGGTGCTAAAAATTCGGATTTTTGAAAATGAATTTGATTGTTTAATTATTGTGGATTATACACCTTTGAGATTAGGTTGCAAGTTTTTTATATCTGAACACGTGGCGTGAATTCTCGTTTCAGATACTCTCATTTTCTGAACTTTGCTGGCCCTTTTGTCAGAATACAATGGATGGGGACAGAGTGAAATTCGAGGAGGTGGTTGATTCAGGAAACTGGATATACTGGAAATTCCAGATGAAAGCATTTCTGAATGCACGTGATGCATTGGAAGTTATCGATGGAACTTGGGTTAAACCTGACAATAGTGTTGAGAAAGCTGTTGAATTGGCTCGCTGGAAGAAGCCAAATAAAATTGCCAAAGAAGTTTTGGTCACTACCTTAGACAAAAAAACATTAACATTAATTATGAATTGTGATACCACCTGTGAAATGTGGTTTAAGTTGCTGAATATTTGTGAAAAAAAATCAGCTGATGCAGTCTACCTGCTCCAAACAATTTCGTGAATATCATTATACGCCGGGTGACAACATAGCATCACATGTAAGTAAGCAAAAATTATACGCAAGATGTTTGAAAGAGTTGGATGAGGAGATATCTGACACTATGCTCATGACGACCATTCTAAACACATTGCCCTCAGAGTTTCGACATTTTCACAGTGCATGGGACTCCACATCTGCTGAGGGGAGAACTTTGGACAAATTAGTGTCTAGATTAATGGTCGAGGAGGTAAAGTTGGGAATGAGTGAGATTAAAATGAATCCAGAGTCAGCTCTTGTAGTAAAGAAGGAGATAAAAACGAAGAGTTTTGGTCTAAAGCCCATTTCAAATTCGCACAAGGTCAAAACAAAATTAAAATGTTGGACGTGTGGAGATCTTTATCATCGTCGTGACTGTTCTAAAAATAATTTTTGGACGAAAAATATAACCAATTTCGAAAAAATATTGAAACTGTACTAAAAAGTATGAAATAATTCCTGGTTAATTTATATGAATACTTCTTATATGAGTATTTTACTTATACTTATACTAATACTTATATGAGTATTTTACTACATATAGTATATTAAATGAAAAAGTTACATTCGTATTGGGGAATGGTAGTACAGTTGTTGCTGTTGGTAGTGATAAAATAAGAATAAAATCCAATGTGGATGATGGGGAACATTATCTTGACAACGTCATGTATGTTCCTGACATGAAAGTTAACTTGTTCTTGGTTCGATCAGTAGCTGAAAAGGGATTCAAGCAAACAATCTTGCTCATTGTTGAAGGTTACAGAGGAAACAATATGTATATCCTAGACATTGATGTAATACAAAATAGGCAATTAAGTCTTTCAGCTCAAAGCAGCAAAGAAAACTCGTTGTAAGTGTGGCACGGAAGGATGGGACATGAAAACAAGTCTCATGTTAAAAATCTCTTGAAGTTGAAGGTCATTGAAGTTTTTTAGACTGACAAAGTAGAGAATTGCGAAGGATGCGCTTTTGGAAAATTTCAACGTACAACTTTTGGAACAATTCCAAAAGCCATTTATCCAGGAGAGCTGGTTGTAACTGACCTCTGTGATCCTATGAAGGAATCGTCACTCTATGGATGCAGATACTTTATTGTCTTTAAGGATGATTATACGCAATACGTTATAAGGATGAAGTTGTTACCTGTTTTAAAACATATATCAACTATGTGTTTTTCACTTCCTATGTTTTCTATACAATGTTTTTTCTTGCATTTTCTATATGATGTATTTCTTACGTTCAAGAATGTATATTATTTTAATATATAACATGTCTTCTATTTGTTACAGTATTGTTTTATAAATGAGTGTTACAACGCAAGTGCACGAATACTTTCGTGTATTGATGTGTATTAAAATCCTTGTCTGCTTGTCTTTGCCCCAAATTGAGAATTATAAGCAGATCATCAATAATACAGTTTGTAAATACCGGTAGGTAAACATTGACATTTACGCTAAATCTACCGAAGGTAATGCATAGCTATTTATCATTCCACTATATCTTTGAAATTAGAGGAGGAAGAGGTAAATGAATTCATCAATGTAATTGTATCCTAATTCAACAATAATTATCAAATATTATATCAAAAGCATTATTAATAATTGAACAATTTCAAAAAGATAATATGATTTAAATCAGCTGGTTTGATGGTTTTAGTGTCAATAAGTCTTTAAATAGACTTCCAGTAGGTAAAGTGTGAATCTCTGTGAGGCTCCAGTCACTGAATCTACATGGTTATAATGCTCTTGTAAGAAAATATGAGCACTCGCGGTACAATTTCCTTATTTTCATTGGATTTCTCATTAAACACATTATTCAATACTGTGACGGAACCTGGCGTGGGCGACCGAGAAAGCCGCTTTCCAACACGCTCGGTCGCACAAATCCCACAGACGAGATTTATTTATTCTTAAGGGAATCTGGGCGCCAGTGTAAAAACACGCGCCGTTACCTTCGCCCTTCCGGCTGCTCAAACAGAGAGTGGGCTCAGAGGAGGTCAGGAAAGACAAAGAAAATAAGGGAAACTCTGATCCACGAAAGTGAAATTGGGCTTTATTTAGCCGAAAACTAAAAAGGGGGGGAATTCCGCGGTACAATCACACCGAAAAGGAAGAAGGTGTGGCGACTACGCACCGAAGAGGAAATACGACGCGGAATCCCCAATACAATTCTACAACCGGCGCGACTTAATTCCCTAGAAAGAAAATACAACCCAAAATGTGTTTCGCCGTGAATTAACGGTCTCGCGTTTCGAAGGGGTCCTTTTCCTTCGAATCGCGGCGCGTTCTCAAACCGCGGAAGATACGCGAAACGAACGGAGGGAACTCCAAGGGTTCTCGCCTCCGGAGGTGGTACTGTCGCGAACGAAAAGTGATAGCACGCTCACGGACACACACACTCGATCCGCGCACATACCCACTCCACAAAGGAAAACCCCAACGCGTGGGCCCTACCTGACTGGCACACTCGCGAAATAACAAAATAGACTCGCTTACACGCGGAAGAAAATAAAAGGGGCTCGCTCGCACGTGATCCGTTTCGCTTCGTCGTTCAACCGTTAATTAGTCTTCCTCGTTTCCCGAAATCGCGCTCTTCTCGTCGCCGGCTCGCGGCTCTCCCCACCCAGGAGCTTTAAGGAACTCCTTACGGTGTGCCACCACCATGCTATCTCCAACGGTGCGGGCTCCGGAGGCAGCTGCGGGGCGATGGCAGGGCTGACCATCTTCCGAGGGTGGCAAGTCCTCTTTGGTGGTGACCACACCGGGGTTCTTGGGTGTGGAGGACACCGCGACCGGCGACTTGCCTCGCTCTCGCGAGGACGCGGCGCGGATCGCGAGCGTGAGGGGGCGCAAAAAAGAAAGGGGAGTCCCTACTGGGCCGCGGGCCACGCATACCTCCACACACGCGACCACCTCCGCGGCGTGTTCGGGCGAGGAGGGAGCGAGGACCCTCCGGGGTCAGGGTGCCTTCGTGACGGGCAGAAAAGTTCTGCCCCGTCACAATACAAGATTATAATGTCCAACAGAAATGAATGAAAGTGAAACTTACCTAGGAGCAACTGTCCACAGGAGGTGAACATGAGTAGGTTGGAATCATTCTTAGACTCCAAATTCCTCAGCTTTTGTCGTTCGTCGATGTGCTGTTGTGAGTGTGGCTGGTGTTCTTGATGCCGTTGTTGCTTCTCAGAAAGTAGGATATCCAGCGAGTGTTTAGATTCCAGGCAACTCTCCGGTTTCGAGTCCATGGCGCTCGAAACTTTCGAATTTGTTGAGTTATTCGAATCGTGACTCCTGACTGTCGAATCGAGTGCAATCGCCGGGTTCACCATGTCTGTCTTTCTTAAAAAACGTTTCAATGTATTACCATCTCTTCCTTTTCGTCTAAAGTTGCTTTCCTCGAATGTTCCAGGCACGTCTCGTCATTTACTTTTGACTCCCATGAATTTCGTGTATGTTGTCCTCTGTTTTCCTTTATTTGTTCTAGCTCTATGAATTCTTTTTCACTAGAATAATATCCAAGGACTTTTAAACTAGTCGATAGACTCTTATTCCAAGAATCTGTTTTAAAAGTTGCGCAAAGATTATTGGTTTTTATCGCAGTTTGTCATATCTAGTGTTTTAGGGTCTAGATTGGGATCTCATCTGCAGTAAATGTTGCGTTTGTTAAAGTTTAAGTGTAATTCACACGGATAATAACATTTTTGTGTAAATGCAACGTTTTTTGAATCTGTTTCCGAAGATTCTTCGTAATTGCACTTTAAGCGTGATTCGCTAAAGGTCAATAGACCCCGTTGTCGCTGATCCAGTTGACACAGTCTCTTGAATCCCAGCGGTCTGTAAATAAAGCAACCAAGTATTAATAATCGTTCAACATTGTTCAAGTTCTTTTCGAGAAGGACCTTTGCTTCTCTTTGTAAAATAACTACCCTGTGACTAATTTTAACTTTGTCAAAATGTATAACGGCGAAACAGTCATGGAACTTTGTCGACGGGGTTGAAATAGAACGTTTTTAGTAATAAAAGTTTTTACATTATAAGTTTCAATAAAAACAGATACATAAACGTTTGTGAGAATATAACTTATAAGAAATGTAAGATCAAAATGTGTAAAACCAGGATCCGGAAAGATTGGACTAACAAGGAGATCGCCAAAGATGGGAGAGAAGAACGAGAAAGAGATAACCATAGAGGTGGTAGCAAGCATTATGCGGGAGGTGTTGGTGGATATGAAAGAAGTGAGAGGGGAGTGGGAGGAGACACAGGAGAGGGTAAGAGGATGGAGGAAGGGAGAAAACAAGGTGGAGAAAATGGGGAAGGTAGGGAGAAAAAGAGGGGATAGTGTGGGAAGGTGTGTTACAGAGGGTAAAGGGGGTGTGATGAAGGAGGGAGTACTGGTAGAGGGAGCGAAAGAAATAGTTAGAAAGAATGGATTAACACAGAGAGCGTCAGAGGGGATTGGAAGACGAGGAAAGGATACCCATAGGGGGGTTAGCAAGGCTTATAAGGGAGGTCGCGGGAACGACGAGAGAGGAGTTTAGAGAGGTAAAGGAGTCGATAAGGGAGATAAAGGAAGATATGAGGAGAAGGGAGGAACAGTGGAGGAAAGAGAAGGAGGAAGTGCTAACGAAAATAGAGTTCTCTGAAAGAGAGTGGGGAAGGAGAAGAGAGTTATAGGTTGATGGGGGCAAGGTTGGAGGGAGGGGGAAGAAACGGGGATGGGAGAAAGGGCGAAGACAATGGAAAAGAGATTAGAAATAGCGGATATGGCAGAAAGGCGGAAGAATGTAATAATTAGAAGAATAAGTACGGAAAGAGGGAAGAAGATAGAGTCAGTGAAAGAAATGTTGAGAAGAATGGGAGTAAAGGGTGAGGTGGAGAACGCGAAGCAGATTGGGGGAGATGGAAAGGGCATGGTGGTACGAAACTGAAGGACAAGGAAATAAAAAGAGAAGTGATGAAGAAAAGGAGAGATTTAGGCGGTAGAGGGGAGAGGGTAGACGATCTCACGTCGACAGAGAGGAGAATACAATGGAAACCGAAGGAAATAGCGGAGGAGTCAAGAAGGGCGGGAAGGAGAGCAAGGGTATCTTATGGAAAGATTTGCATAGGAAATGTATGGTGGAGGTGGAATGAAGAAGAAAGGTTAAGGAAATGGAATGGGCGCAGGAGAGAATGGAGGGAAGTAAATGGAGAAAGAACTAGAGGAAAATGGGTTGGAACGAGGAAAGAAGGGGAGGAGGAAAAGCGGGCGAGAGAGAAATAGAGAGGGGGAGAGAAAACAAGTATATTGGACGAATTGAAAGCAAGAATGGATAGGAAAAGTTTGGGGGAATAAGGGAGTGGAGAAGAAAGGATGAAGGAGCCGAGCCAGAGGGCAGGGAATGTGGAAAAATGAATGAAGGAGCTGGTGAGAATGGGGATGAGGGCAGGGGAAGGATAAGTAAGTAGATAGGGAAAAGGTCAAGGAATGAAGGGAATTCCCCGGAAGCGGGTCCGCATAGCGTGCCCTCTCTCTTTCTTACGTTTCTTGTTTCTCGAGATTAATTGTAAGATAAGGATAGAATAAGGTAGAATAACGATAGTTGAAGGATAGAGTAAGTACAGGTTTTGTAAGGAAAGGGACGGCCATGCAAACCTCGTGGGCCGTATAATAAATACATACATACATACATTGTTTTCCAATCAGTTCAATAATTTAATAGAAAGGTTCCACCAAGATATCAAAACTATTAAGCAGCGCTATCAAGAATATTGGGATGAAAGAATGTTGGGAGACTACATTTGGTTCCTCGTCAGAGAAACGGATCCAAAGAAGGACAGAAAACAAAGCAAAGGCCAAAATTATTTCTAATCGTATTTCTAATGGAAATAAATTAAATAAACGTTTCCTATATATGTAAATAGCAGAAAAATATAAAACAGAGTAAAATTGGAATTTTTGTACCTTTATTCATTTGTTGCTAACTCTGGTATATATCCATACATTTGATTCAATAAAAGCTTGTTTTCTTCGTAAAAGTGCGATCTATACGTAAACGATAAGAAACTGAACATAATGTGACAGTTTCTATTTTTACATGGCGATAGAAGAAAGGGTACAGCCGGATAAGGGGGTCAAAAGTGCCCTTGAGCCAAATTGATCAATGAACATACTAATCAATAGAGTGTTAAAAGAAAACCATTTGTGCCCAGTTTCAACCCGATACCCTTACTGGAAGGGTAGTTACAGTGCAAAACGCAATTTATAGTTTAAGCTGTATATTTTTTGTTATACTGTATCAGAAATTTAAAAAAAAATTGGAGATATTCTACTTTATAGCGTACATGTTTGTGAATTTTTAAAGAATTTTTCACTGCAAAATGGATTTTTAAAAAATTCGAGATGTTTAAAAATAATTTTTTTTATAGAAATTATAAAATGACCACGTTTATATTTTTACACTGTTAGTGCTTTGTTATAATTATTAATCTATAATTTTTTCAGATTTTTGGAATTGGTGGAACGATGTTGAAAAAATCAAAAACCGACATTTGTTTATATTATTACCTTAATTTTTCATGTGACCATGTTCATATTGTGACAGTTATAATATCTTATTATCATTATCAATATATAATGTTGAAACACGAGAATCCATGTTAAACTATATATAACGTTTATTAACAAACTTTAACTTTTAACGATTTAACAATAATTCAACGATAAACTTAGAGACTTGTAGCGATACGTCTTCTCTCTTTGAGATCTCGAATCGCTCTCTTCTATTTTAAAAGTTTGCCGCTTTCTGCAACCGGAAGCGCGGGAACTCGTTTCCGCAACTTCACATCGTCGCAACATTTTCACACCGTCGCGACGATGTAACTCGGAACTGTAGTGCGGCATCTTCATACATCGTTTATTACAGGATTTACGTGTTCTGTATTAAAGATTTTACGTAGTATTTCTGCAGGGTTTATTATTTTCGCAATATAGCGGGCATGCGACAAATAATATACACTAACGATCAAAACATAGCGGACAAATTTTTAAACGATTCAAAAACATGGAAGTTTTCAACCGATTGGAATTAAACTCCGTGAGGAGTAGTTTTGTAGTGTCCTCTGGGCGTGTGTAAAGTTACATGAGCAAGGGTTGATGCGAGGGGTTAATTCACACCCCTAAAGGGGAGGGTGTAGAAAAACGCCTCTTTGAAACAGGCCAGGGATGACGGACGGGGTTGAAAAATTCAAAAAAACCTTTGGGGCGACTCTCCTTGATGCTCTCTACAAAATGCACCCCTTTAAATCCCTCTCGGAGGGATTCTGTCTATTCCACCGATGTGTCTCGGCTTCCACTCTCAAGGCATTGTCTTTTTCTTTTTGTTCCGAAATTCGTGAAATGAATTCTTCTGAAAGTTCGAAAAAAGTAAAAAAATTACGCCCAGTACATGAAAAAGTGGAGGACTTAAAGAGTAATCATAGAAAAATAGAAGATCCCTCTAAAAAAATTCAAGAAAGTAGAAAAAGAAGACCAGGCAAGGTCAAGGTTTTGATGAATAAGAATTATTTTAAAATGTAAAATAATGAAAATGTACTCATATTGTCAGAGTTTGAAACTGACAAATTATCTGAAAGCTTGCGAGAGGAAAGGTATTGGCGCGGATGAATGACCTTAGAAATATTTTAAAACCCAATACAATGAAAGTGTACTCATAATATTATCAGAGTTTTAAATTGACAAATTATGTAAAAGTCTGCGAGAGAGAAAGTGTGGGTATTGATGATCTGAGAATGCTTGCCTGGCCACGCCAAGCATTTGACTTCCAGGCCACGGACATCTAGGCAAATGTCTAGACAGTCTCAGTTTGTGGTTAATACACTATTTAGCTTCTTCATTTTACCGCCAAAACGCAGAGCAGTCACTTTACATGAGTTGTCATTAGGGTCTGAACGTCTGCACTGTTGAACACAGCATTTTAGCTGCGCATAGTTGAAAAGCACCGAATTTTTCATTGTGTTATACAGTGTCGCCTTTGCACTTTGCTGGAAAGCACCTTCATGTACTGGCAGCTCATTTCGATTCCACTTCTTTTTCTACTTTCTTGAATTTTTTTAGGGGGATCTTCTATTTTTTATGATTACTCTTTAAATCCTCCACTTTTTCATGTACTTGGCGTAATTTTTTTACGTTTTTAAAAATTTTTATGGGGATCTCACTTCTTTTTACAAAGATAATTTGTATAGTGAATGACTCCAAATAATAAAAAACGGGAGATCAGTTTGAATCCTTTAAGGTTTCAAAAGTACGCGGAACGCATTGCAGGAAGTCTCATTGCAAGAAATTTATTAAAGA